GTGGTGTCCTGTCCCTCACCCGGAGCGTGAGGGCGAGCGCGGGAGGCTCTTGGCCACTGCGGGCCTGCTGTGCGAAGGGTCCCGTGCCCCTCCCGGGCCCTGCACACCCCATGCCTGTGGCTGCGGGGCAGACTGTCGCAGGCCTCAGCTGCTCCGCGGCGTGGTGACTGTGGAGGGCCAAGCGAAGCCCTGTCCTGTAGTGCGGAGAGAGACCTGCTGGCTCCGTCAGCCTCGGGCCTTCTCTGTGCTGGGCACCAAGCTGCAGGCCTGGACAGAAGGAAGGGCAGCGGCCACCAGCTCCTGTCATGTGACTCCTTCCATGGAGGAGGCCCGGCCGGACAGGCTCCTCCGCATTTGTCCCCGGCCTGGCGGGCACTTGGGTTCGCTGGCGTGGCCAGGCTGCTCACGGAGGAGGACGAGGCCTGGGCAGAGGGCCAGGGTCTGGCTTTTGTCCAAGGGCAGCATGGGACTCAAGCAGGACAACCTGAGCTCTGCCCCTCGCTGCGGTGTTTCCTGGGGACATCTTCCTCCTTGGACTGGGTCTCAGGTCTGTTAGATCCATGGGGCCTTGGCCTGGGCAAGCGCAGGAGCAAACAAAGGCAGCGTGGGCGCCTGCAGGTGTTGGGAGGCTGTGGAGCCCCGGTGTCCCCCAGAGGTGGGGACCCCGTCCTGAGCCCGCGTGCTGCTGGGCGACGGTCTCCGCCCTCGTCGTCGGGGCCCCGCATCCTGCACAGCAGGCCGCCTGGATGGTGGCCTCTCCCCAGGCCCCAGCGCTCCTGACAAGGGCGGGGGGGAGTAAAGCTGTTTGCAGGCCAGGCAGGGCCGGGCACGGGAAGAAGGAGCATAGCCCCAAGCCTGCTGACGCCCGCAGCCACCCTGGGCGCGCGAGTTGGAGCAGAGTGACCTTCCCGCTCCCAGCCCCGAAGCAGAGGAGCGCGAAAGGGCGTCGGGCGCGGCTCGCCCTGTGCCGGCCAGGTTGGCGCTGAGTCTGCGGTGGGCGAGGTGGCCTCGCGGTGCCTGTGTGTCGTCGGGCCCTGTCGGGGGTGGGGTGTGACAAAGCCGCAAGTGCAGTGCTGCGTTCCCGGGGAGCTCCGCGTCGCAGGACTCACAGCACAGGCGGGCTTGGTTTTGACGGTGTATTTCATTGAATGTGTCCACGATATTATTTCCACATGCAGTTAATTTTTAAAATTGTCACCATCTACTTGTTTCTTTTGCTTTTTGGAAAACTGAGTGTGCTTTGCACTGGCAGCACGTTTCGGCGTGAGGAGCCGTGGTCAGTGCCGTGGCCCCGTGGGTCGGTGCCGTGTTGGGCGGGCGGTGCGGCCTGGCGTCCCTGTCTTCGCACTCGGGCACCTGGCCTGCTCGGGGCGGGCGGCATGGCCTGCGAGCTGTTTGCACAGCGCTGTTCGGTTACTCCGAGCAGGGGTGAGGCCGGCATCGTCTTTCTCCAGAGGAGGTGTTTCTCAGGGAGGATCTTGAGCATGGCTCTCAGACCCTGACACAAGACTGGCTCCTTTCCCAGAACGTGGCCCTGATACCGATGTCAAGAGCGGCACTGCGGGCTCCGTGGGGGGCCTGTGCCAGACGCGGTAAACATGTCATGCAGTTTGATCCTCACAAGGGTCCAGCACGGAGACCTGGTCGTTTGCGTGGTCGCAGGAGCTGCGATGAATGACAGAGGCACACCCGCCGGCACGGGGTGATGGCCAAGGTCACAGCCTCCTGGCGGGGTGCTGCTTGTCCCTCTGACCATTCGCCCTCGCGTCTCTGCTCTTGCGGCTGGTGTGCTGTGGAGAGGCAGTAATAATGGCAATCTTAAACATTTTTTAATTTTATTTTAAGAAAGGGCCATACTAAGCTGCTCAGCTGTGTTTAAACTTGCAGCCCTCCTGCCTCAGCCTCCCGACTAGCTAGGATTACAGATATGCACCACCACGCCTGGCTAAAATGGTTTAACTTTCTATAACTCTACACACGTTTTCAGAAATAATGTCTTGGAAATGGCAAGTTCAGCCTCATAGCTCCGGTGTTTGGATGGAGGGTTCCAGGCTTGCTTTGCCTTTTCTATGACAGAATTTTCCAAATGTCTTGATTGCCAGGATGGTGCTTGACGTGGAGAGCACAGCTGGGCCCGGGCGCCTGTCCTGCGGATTGAGCTCCCTGCTGCCATTGTAAAAGGCTTAGCAGGGCTCGATCAGAAGGTCCAAAGTTCTCACTGAGTCCTCTGGAAATGGGTCTGTGCTACCATAAAAGAGAAATAACACTGCATGCGCGTGCGGTGGGGCGCACTCCGCTTCCGCCGTCTCTGGAGCCGGCTGTGAGCGAATGTGTCCTGGTTTGGACTGCCGTGGTTCCGCGGAACTCACTTTGTGACCCTTCCCTCTGACCCTGCCTTCTGAGTGCCTCGGAGCATCCTCCGTCCCCCCTCTGCTGCCTTCCTCCTCTCCCTGTCTCTGGGGGATCGCGGGCGATGGCAGAGTGAGGACCTGCCTCTCCCAGGTACTTGCCGTTTTGAAGGCTAAAACCTTCGAGCTGCTGCTGCCCACCCTCAGCCTCTGTCCTACCGCTCACCCTCTTCGTTTCTCTCCTTGGCGCGAGGTAGCCCGTCTGTTTTTTATGGGCTTTCCTCTTCTTCCAGAAAGACTACATTTTATTGTAAAAACAATTGTTTAGATCAAATTCTAAAAAGAAGGCAATGTTTTCTCAGGGTTAAATACAGTGTTTTTGTGCTAGCTTAGCGGGTTCCGTATATTTGCTTCGGAACAAATCCAGCCGTCATCCGCTGCAGGTGAATGTTCATCCTGCCCACCCGGATGGTGCTTGCTGGAGAGGGCGAGGCGTCTGCTGCTGCCTGGTCAGCTCACGCTGGGTCCTTCAGTCACCGACAGCAGCACTTAAGAAATGCTTCTCTTACTGACAGTCACAAGATCCTGGCACGTTTACCCTGCGTTTCTGTGATCTCCTGCTTGAGCTGTTAATGTTGTCTGCCTTTTTGACATGATCTGAAGTTTCTCACTGGACTGTAGAATTACAAAAGATTTATAGTCCCAAGCAATCGTCACATAACAGCTCTGAGGAGACTGGATTCAGGGGGATCTTATCTGGTGCCCAGATGCGTGACACTCGGTGTGCACACACTTGGGTGTGTGGCTGTGACCTTGTGTACACACGCAGGCGCTCGTGGTCAGTCACTCCTGACCCCGCTGGCTGCCTGGCCCTGCGGGGACCTGCTGCGTTCTGGGGAGTGGAAGTCAGCCCACGTCCCTGGCCCGGCGCCCGAGGCAGCACAGTGCTCCCCGCGCAGGGCGGGGCCTGCAGCACACAGCAGCCGCTCAGGGCTGTCCGAGTGATCGAACCCAGACAGGAACAGCTGCAGAGAGAACTTGGTGCAGATCGGATCATTCACTGTCTTACAAACTCAGTGTGAATAGACAAACATGTCTACAGCGACGGCCCCCATTCAAGCTGTTTTCTGCAGCGACCTGTGGCCAGGTGAAAGCCTCTGCTGTCCGAACGCTTGGTCTGCCCACCCTGGTGTTTCCTGTCCGTCTACACCACGGGCAGCGTGTGTGCTACAGACCACAGAGCCGTGTTGTTGCTCTTAGCGCCGGCACTGCTGGGTCGCTCAGCGCCCATGCCCAGCATGGTTGCGGGATTTGCCAGCCTCTGTGCAGTCTTAATAATAATTACTGCGCTCTTTAATGATAACAGTGCTTAATGAGTATTATTACTGTTAATAATGGCGGCATTTAATAATTGCACCCAATACTCATTATCTTTAATAATAATAATTAGCGCACGGGAACCAGTTGCACCATTGTATTATCTCAGAGCAGAAAGCTCAATCTGGGAGCCAGTCCTTTGCAGGGAGCCTGCTCCCGCCTGCGCCCGTCAGAAGGGAGTGAGTCAGGACTTCTGGGGACGGTCAGGCGGGGAGGGCTTCCAGGCTGTCCTGGGCAAGCCCCTTCCTCGACCTCCGGTCTCCACCTCCCTGCGCTTCTCACAGGCGAGGGGCCCCGGCGACCTCCTTCCGGGACACCCTGACGTACGTGCGTCGTGCGGGGCAGAGTCCGAGTTTATGACTCCTGTGCTGATAAAACTTGGATCTTCTGCCTTGGCTGAGTGTAAATTTCAATGCCTGTATGACTTTTTTTTTTTTCGTCTTTTAAATAAAAAAACAGTTTAAAAATGTTTGGCGAATTAAACATTTTTTAGCTTTTCACACTTTGATACAAAGCAGAGAAATATTTCAGTGACAACAGATTTCAACAGATTTTCAACTAAACTAATTTGCTTTATTCTTTAGGGTAGTTTACTTCTTTTCTCCGCAAACACAAGGAAAGATACTTTTTCTGGTGGTAACTGGTGTTCACATATAAAGTAACTTTAAGGGGATGAGGTTCTGTATCTGATGTATGTTTGAGGAGAGCTAACCACTAGCCAAGGCTTTGATGATCGGGAGCTTTTCAGGCCCATGGGTGACCTGTTCACCACAAGTAAAAAGCTAAGAACCTCGCAGAAGGAGTTCCTTCTCAGTTCTCGCGCTCTTACACACACGCGTGTACTCTCTCAGGCCCTGGAATCGGATGTGCCACGAGCCCCACGAGGAGCCTTAGGGGGAGGCTTGGGAATACACTCCCCGGTCAGAACAGGTGTCATCACCAGGTGCCACCGCTGATGCGCAGTTCCTGATAAAAGCAGGTGTGCAGGCCAGGCTCCCGAGGTCACCCTGACCTTGCCTCCCTGTGTGCTGGGACTGAGCTCACCGGTGGGCCTCAGTTTTTAAGGACTGGAATGTCAAGGCTTCTCCTGCTGCCGGGGCAGTTCTGCAGTGGGATAGTAATACGAGGGGGACCCCCGCTTGCCCTCGGGCCCCTGACAAGCGGCCGGGGTAGTCTAAGCCTCTGGGTCCCAGCTGAGCAACGTTTAGCACCGTCTCGTCCCTCAGGCTTGGAGCTGCGTGGTAGGTAAACTGTGCTCTGCTGTCCTCTCCCCAGGTTTGATGGTGCCTGTCTTCTGCGTGGTGGAGCAGCTGGACGGCTCTCTCGAGTATGACAACAGAGAGGAGCACGCTGAGTTCGTCCTGGTGCGCAAGGATGTGCTCTTCAGCCAGCTGGTGGAGACGGCGCTCCTGGCCCTGGGCTACTCCCACAGCTCTGCGGCCCAGGCCCAAGGTAGGCAGCCCTCTCCCGGACCGCTGCGGTGCGCACACAGCTTGGGGGCCTGCCTCAGCCTCTCCCGACAGGGGTGGCAGGGGTCCTGTGGTCTTGTGTCCTTGTCCTTTGGGGACCGTCTGTCCTTCACTCCTAGAGCCACTCCCATTTCCTTTCAGAGAAGGATCCTCAGCATTTGCATTCCTCAGCTGGATGCTTCTTCTGAGTCCACAGATTGGTCTTGGGGCTGGTGCTGAGATTTTGGCTCCTGACCTATCCAGACTTTGTCTTAATAAGCGGTGTGTACGAGCCTCTGTTTCCCTTACTGCTGTGGGACTGCAGCCTCCAGTTTCCGACGAGCTCTCAGTTAAACAGAAGGAAATGGGTGCATCACGCATTTTCTGTGTCTGAAAACTGTTCTGTAGTTTTGTCCATTCATTTGGAGAACACTGTCTTTGTCATCACCTCCTTTATCTGTTTAATTAACTATTAAAATCGCACCCTTCCTGTAGTGTGTGCTCTGTAGCACGGGGAAGCCCATTGTGTGTCTGTTGCTTTATTCTGAAGCATAGCTCTTTATGCCAAAGAGGTGACAAAACAAATGACAACAAAAACACTCCCAAACCTGCAATAATGGTGACATTTTTTTTTTGACCCAATGGAATTATTCTTGTTTTTCAGCTAGAATGATTGAATTGTGTGGTTCATGAATGTGGTTATAACTAAAGGAAAGAAATGTGTAACTTCTCGGTCTCCTTATGTATATGAATTCCCTATATATGTTATTATCTTTACTTAATGTTTGTGTAAAAGCCAAGGATTTTTGCTGTTTTGAGAACTGTCAATCAGATCCTCATTTATTCTTATAAGGGCGTTAGAGAGTAGCAGTGTTTATACAGAGGTACAAATCTTGTTACCAAGGACCTGCCTCTGACTCTGTAAGCAGATATTTGCTTCCTAAAGCATGTGGTTCACTTGTACCTTCGTTCTACCAAGCAGGTGGCGCTCACAGGCACTGCCCAGGGCTGTTGTCCCTGCGGGTCTCGAGCCCACAGTGCCCGAATCGGTGCCCTCCAGGCCCTTCCACGGGGCCAGGCTTTCGGGGCCGCACGGTGGAGGCCACTTCTTTGTCTGTCCTTCCGTGCAAGCGACTCGGGATTCGTGCAGGGGCACAGGTGCACTGCGTCCTGGCCTGCTTGCTTCCGTCCCACACCGTGCACCTGAGTGGAACAAAGGAGCCTGTCTTCCCCAGGGCCTCATCACGCCACTTTAGGAGCTTGTCCTGCAAACAGGGCTGGCTGTGCTGTGCTCCGCCCGCGCGCCAGCTTCCCCTCTGACAGGCCATCCATCTCTGTTAGCGCGGCTCTGGCGTGCCGGGCTCGCTGTGGAACTCGGAGTGCTAAGTGGCCAAGATTTGCGTCTTGGCACCTGCGGAGGAGAGGGGCCCTCGGGACGCGTCACCAGGGAGCCACGCTGCTGCCACACAGCAGAGACACACTCGCCCTGCGCCTTTCCCCGGGGGTTGTTGGGAAACAAGGCCAAGGCTTGTTTGCCTCCTCAAAATTTTTTGAAAAATTGGGTTGAAAGCACTGAATATTACACCCTTTCCGGTGGAATCCACACGCTGCGCCGCGCTGGGTCACAGGTGTACGTCATGTAGAGGAGTGCAGAGGTCACCTCCAGGGCCGCTTGTCACCTTGCGGGAGAGGGTGTCACCTGTGTGTGCTTTGCTTTAACTGCTGATCTGCATTTTGGCCAAGTGGGGAAACTTAGAGTGGTCTGTTCTGAAGTGAACGTTTGGATCTTTGCTATCACGTGGGGCGAGGTCCTGGGCAGCAGGAGAAGGCAGAGGGTGGGGTTCTGAGGATGCAGGTTTCCAGGGTCCACGGCGCGGTTCTCTCTGCTGTGCTTTGCTTTTGCCCTTCAGCATTTCTGTGGCCGTTGTAGGTGGGGAGCTCCCGGGATGCTGCAGAAAATCCCTGCGCTATGGAGAGGCTGCAGAGTTGGAGAGTTAGGAAGGCCCACACTGCCAGGACAGTGGGTTGCTGGAGCCTTTTTATTTTTCGAGACAGGGTCTCACTGTGCAGTTCCAGCTGGCCTTGAACTCACAACAATCCTCCTGCTTCAGCCTCCCAAGTGCTGGGATCACAGACATGTGCCACCATGCCCAGCATCAAGCTTGTTCTAAACACTAAATTCTTCAAACATGATTCTTTATTTTGACATGAGCAAAAAAGGTTTTCAGTAACTGAGTTGGAAGAGAACATTAGATTCCCTGTGGAAGAACAACTGTACAGCAGCGCACCATTTTGGAACGGCACTCGAGCCTCAGTGGCGAGACAGTGCCCCTGCTCTGTGAGCAGGACACCTGGCTTCTCCTTCCACAAGGGTGCTCCCTCCCCGGGACCAGGGATTTCATTAAGAAAGCATACTTGTTGCCAGAGGATGATAGAGATCCTTCTGGGCAGATCCTGAGGGATAGATTGTCATAAACCGTGGAACTGTCTCTAGAGAACCCATGTCCTCACTTCCTGTCTCTAGGGAACCCGTGTCCTCACTTCCTGTCTCTAGGGAACCCGTGTCCTTACTTCCTGTCTCTAGGGGGCTGTGTGCTTACTTCCGGAAACACAGCCTTCTCCTTGTGTGATTGTCAGGCCATCGTAGACACGCTGCTTTTCTTGTGCCAAAGCTCTAGGCTGCCGGCCGTCTGCTCTTCCTGGAGTGGGTGGACTGAGGGTCCGGGTGTGGCCAGTGTCTCTTCTAGGATGATGGACCACAGGTGATCCTTGCCTCAGATGTGCCGGGATCTTGGGAGAGGAGTGTTAGCCCTGGCTGCTGCTCCTTAGTCCCCCTGCCTCGCTGGAAATTACTGTTCTCCTCTCTGCCCCGCCCCTCCCTCCCTTCCCCTCTCTTCCCCTCTCCTTCCCTCTCCTTTCCCCTCTTGTCCTCTCCTCTCCTGTCCTCTCCTCTCTCCTTTCCACCTGTAGGCCTTTCTGATACCCTCCCTGTCAGGGGTTCGGCCCCTGAGTCAGCGGGCACTGAGGGTGGCCGGATGCCCACCTGTGGGTTCCTCTTGTTGTAAGTGGACCTTTCATCCTCTGCTTTCTGTAAATTTCAGGATAAATTATAGAATTTATTTTTGACCGGAGAATTTTATTTAAAAACAAACACACTGGGCAGTAAATAAGCCCCGGTCCCTGCCAACAGGGTATTTTTGGTGTCAAAACTGTAGCTTCAGAAAGAGGTATGTTAATCATCATTTCTTATTTATGTTCAATAATTACCTCTGTGCACTCATTTTCCATGATATTTTTTAAAAGTGGCCCAGGAAAATGAATTTTGTAAGTGTTACGTGAATCAAGCAGACTGCTAAATACTGCAATGATGTAAAATTCTGTACCTGTGCAGAAGAGAGAGACGGGGGAACATGCTAAAGTGTCAGCAGGGTGGGCCATGGGACTGTGTGGGGTTTTCTCCTTCTAATCAGAAAGAAAGAAGTAATTACGAAATTCTCCTTCCTGCCTGAATTCTTCCCAGGGTAAGCGGGAAGTTATTTCTGCTTATTCCCACATTTGGATAAGCAGTCCACTCCGTCCCTAGTTTATTGAAAATGTGGAAGCTTACATATTATCCACATGGATTTCTGTTGTTTTCCCTGTGAAAGATGAGGAAGGACCAGTCATCATTAACGAGCCCCAGTAATGAATGACTGAGGGATTTCTTGGAGCTTTAATCCTGCCAGGTAAGAAATGAGCAATTACTGCAGGGCGACGGTTCTGAGAGTTTGGTATGTGTTAACTCACTTAATTCTCGCGTGGCCTTTTGAAGGGAGTTTGCAGATACTGTTATTTCTGTCAGTGGGTGTGTGAGTCGGTGCGTGAGCACGGCACATGACGATTCTTTCGACCCTCCGCCCAGTCTCTTGGTCTCCCTCCTTTGGGCGAGAGATCAGTCTCCCCGTTTCCTGTGACCCATCTTTTTCTCTTGCTGTTTATTCTTTGGGTTCCTCATGGAACTGAGTAAGTTATAGTAATTTTCCCATTTTACCGAAGAGGAAACACAAAGAACAGGGAGTGACTTTCTCAGGGGCACAGGCTGGGGTGCAGGAGCTGAGCTCCGCAGCCCTTGGGCCACCTGCAGGTCGGGTCCTTCACCGCGGGCCTCGGACTGCCCCACTTCTCGGCGGCAGTCAGGTAGCCTTTGCTTTGCACCTTTTCACATCAGCCCCAAAGGCAGGCATGTGGGTTGGGTGTTTGCTGAGCCCACGAAGCTCGCACACGTTTGAGAATGAGGCTGTTGTGCATGTTTGGTTTCCACGATGAATTCTGCAGAGATGGAGTTAAGTTAGCCGAGATGACCTCCATTAAAAGCAGTCCGAACCCCGCAGGACTGCTGTCTTGGAGGAGGCCCACAGGAGTCCTGATAAGAAGATAAAGTGTGTACCTGAGCACTGGACCAGTAGTCTGCAGTGCCTGGCACGTGCATTCACTCTTTGACTTTCAGAGATAAACAACTGAAAAACAAAACCTGCTTTCATGGAGCTTCTGTTTTATAGTTTGAGTATGCATGAGAAGTTTAGGATGTGGAATTAGAGATGTAAATTTGTCTACAAATTCGGTGCTAACTTAAAACTAAATAGTTGCTTCATTCCTTAGCAGATGCTTGGGAATTCCTCCTGCCTGCCCACCTCTGGAAATAGATGAATAAATGGCCAGGTGACAGGCATGGCTCAGGTCATGAAGGCGAACCCCGGGGTGGGCCTGTCCATGCTCAGGGTAGTGTCATGGAGTGCAGTCAGAGTCAGAAAAAGGGCAGAGGAGCTCGGAGATGGTCTTCATTACTCTGGGGAAATCTGCATGCTCCTACGAGTGTCAGCGGACTTCTTCCGTCAATAATCAGATCTGAACTCACTGGAAATGATTTACGTCCCTTATAAAAGGAATTCACAGCGTGAGGACCACAGGGGCACAGTACACGTGTGTCCTGGGTAAAAATGGGAATTTCGAGATTTCATGTTCACT